TGAAAGAAAATACAAGTACTTTTAATATAGCCAGGTCCTCTGAGAGAAAATACAAGTACTTTTAATATAGCCAGGTCCTCTGAGAGAAAACACAAATACTTTTAATATAGCCAGGTCCTCTGAAAGAAAATACAAGTACTTTTAATATAGCCAGGTCCTCTAACATAAAATACAAGTATTTCCAGAACCTGGTTTTATTACTTTAGTTATTAGTCATTAATTACATTTATATTAGGTTTTACGTCAAGACTTTAAAATTCTATCCACAATACAAAATGGAACTTTTTACAGAGATTGTTTCATAAATAACTGTTAAAAATTATGAAAACAACATGTAAACAATTTATTCTTGTCACTGAGTACTTTTATGTTTAAAATTTCAGTACAATGAAAGATTGAAACTGGTTTCCAAGACCCATCACGTAACGAAGTTACGGTCTTTCCCCTAAAAGTTACTTTCTTATGAGCATTTTATCTACCCATAAGAAAATATCTTTAAATCTGTTCCATGAAAAACAGTACTAACCTTTGATTGCTTGTAGTTTTGATAATGGCATATGTTTAGCCCAGTTTCCAATCACGTACAGAACTCTCTGCATTGTGCTCAATGACACCGGTTCTCTACTCTCACAACACTGCTCCCAATACTCCAAAACAAACTCTGGGTTTTTAACTTCAAAACAAAGTGACAGAAAAACTAGTATTAGCCACACAGTTCCATCTCTGGACCCGTTAAGCTGGGCTTTGATCAAATTCACCATGGATGACCTACGAAAAACAGCAAAACAGAATTATAACAACATAACACAAGAGTTGAGTATGATACGTTAAAACTACTTTGGAGCCTTACCACTAGAGATACAGAATTTAATTAATTACTTATGAGATTGATTAATATCATTTAAATTACTCTATTAATCAAAATTAAAGTTTCCATTTATTACTGTTTTTCATTATTACATCTGTCCAACTAATTAAAGTATTACCACCAAACTTGTTCACCTTCTCTTTGTTATGGCAATGTTACTGAGGCACTATTGCAAATTTTAAACTGCTCACTAGAGGGAAGGCAACTTTCTGGCAGAGTCTGCTGACAATTTTTCTTGAAATATATCTTGTTGTTGAACTGCTAACTAGAGGGAAGGCTGGAATTCTCTCCCCAATAATTTATTGTATTTTTTGTATGTACCATGTTTGTAGAACACTGCAACAGTACTGTTGATGAACTGATTAACAAACATTGTACCACTAAATTCCAAGCTCTCCTAACCATGTTACTATAGTCCATGTCATTATGTCTAGTCATACTCTATCTGAAGATCATGTATCTTGACAATAGCCCTGCAGCATAGTTTACACTGCAAAATGCTGTCTTGTCCAAAGAACACCATTACTTCCTGCAGGCTCTCCTTTCTTCAGCTGCTTGAGGCATGTAAAAGTTGAATGGATTTTTTCATTGAAGCAACTTGTGTTCTTCTGATGTGTGTTGCTTTTTCCAGATGGAGATTCACCTTGGTTATGTTGGATAATGTATTCTGGGACATACGGACTGCTTTTACCACTGTCCTTTGTGGTTCTGGAGTTTCATCTGTTAGACATCACACTTTGCTTACTATGGCTGGGGATATGACTTGTTGCAGGTCTCTTTCTGTCTGGTCATGGTTTCCCAAGTTCATCCATATTCATTTGTTTTCCAATGCAATTAAGCAAATTCTAAATCCCTGATCTGAATATTCTGTATCATAAAGAGTTCTTATACACCCTTCCCAAAGTTGATAAGTTTTAGGGACAATGACACTATCTACAATAGTTGTGGCTTTCACATGACTTGCTGATTTACACATTCATTTTAATATATCATAGCCCAACATTTGTATTATCTTTATTTTTCAATACACCAGTATCATTCTACTGTTTTCTTACTACAACTACAAAGTTCATATACTGAACTCCAAGATTATAAATACTTGAATATTACAACTTTCTTTACAATTTTTTTATGCAAGTTACACATGTCTATTAAATGTCTACAAGTAATTTATTCAACGACAAGACATCTATCCTCAGGTGATCCTTTAATTAAATCTTACTTTTTGAAAGTCCAGATTTAAAAAATGCTACACTCTCCTTCTTCTTCAATAATCTCAATACTAAGCAGAAATAATTAAATCTTTACTTGGGATCCACAGTCACAAATCTATGAGCTTCTGGTTTAGTATCTCCGCTTGCAGTACATTCAGTACAAAAAAAAAAGCACAGGAAAGTGTATGATAAATCCAGTTACCACTACTTTTATACGCAAAGATATTTTTTTTCATGTGATTATTAATTGTAACTTACATTAATCTTTATTTTCATACCAAACACCAGAAAACTTCTTACTTGATCTTTCCTTGTTTTCCTAACTTCTGTACGGCCTTCTGAAGGTAACGTTGCATGTCTTGATATTCAGTACTTGCAACATCATCCAAGATCTTCCATGCCATCTCCCGATGTGATTCTTCTGTCTTAGAAACAATTTTCTCTAGCAACAAGCTATAAACCATCTCCAGACATTTCTCTTGGATTGAATTCTCTGGATCTAGCACCAATGGTAGCACTCCTTGCATCCAATGCTTCTGTATCGTGGTTGACAGAGGACAACATTCCAGAAGGTTGGATAAAGACTGAACTGCTTGCTTCCTCACCAACACAGCTGGATCCAGGCAGTGGTTTTCTAACAACTAGAGAAAGAACTTTATCAACGTTAAAAAGGCACATAAAGCTAGCAGCAACTGAATCACCACAGTTTATTACCATGTCAGTAATAATGTAAAGTTAGCAACAACTGAATCACCATAGTTTATTACCATGTCAGTAATAACGTAAAGTTAGCAGCAACTGAATCACCAGAATTGTGCATCTACTTAAACAAAAACTCAAATTCTAGTAACATTACTTAAAATTAAACTTTCACATTACTTTTAAAAACAGACCAAACTAAAACAAGTTTGTTAAATGGTTTTACATTTGTGATAGTAGGTATTGTTTGGTGAAACACTGAAAAGCAGTTTTTTACAAAACTGAGAAATTAATTTTCACTGTAAGATACTTCACACAGAAAAATGTTCAAAACTAAAATATTCCAATAACTCTTAAACATGTGGCCATGGTCAACCATTAAAGAAACAACTCTTAACACAGTTCCAACCTTTTAACAAATAACTGTGATGCCTTCTAGTTCTACTTTCTGTGTAACAAACACTCACGACAGTTATGTAACAAACTGTCTTACAAACACAAAATAGTAACATTGTATCATCCCTACCACTTGTTTACTTACATATTATATACTAACAGAAAAAACTGAGTCTACTACAGTATTTCAGAGATACAAATAAGATCTTTCTTAAGTTCTAGAAAAACTATATATTAAATCATAATTCTACTCTGTTTCCTCACACTTTCTGTTCTACCAATCAAAGAAATCAAACTGGATCTTTTAGTTAAAAAACTCCTAAAAAACTAACAGCTTACAACAAGGTACTAACTGATAAAAAATTACACCTGCTATTCAGTTTCAAAAGATTGCTGTTAAATTTTTTTTTTAATGAACTTACGTACAAATTGAAAATTTCGCTAAGCCTTGAAACTGGTATACTAACCTTTATATAGTTCTCTAACGTGTTGGTTTCTTTAATTATCAAGACATTTTCCAAGACCTGTAATGATGCTTTCCTTACATTGACTTTCTGATCGCTACAACGTCGTGAAATCATCTCCATGAAGGAGTCTACAGAAAAATCGGAGGAGACTGCATGACTGCTGGGCATACAAGTAACTTCACTGTTCTGATTAATTTCTTTCTGAAGAACAAGGTCTTGTCCTGATAAACTTCCTTTTTGAAGAACAACGTCTTGTCCTGATGAACTTCCTTTCTGAAGAACAACATCTTGTCCTGATAAACTTCCTTTTTGAAGAACATCTTGTCCTGATGAACTTCCTTTCTGAAGAACAACATCTTGTCCTGATGAACTTCCTTTCTGAAGAACGTCTTGTCCTGATAAACTTCCTTTTTCTTTCTCCTCTCTCTTTTCTTTGTCGCTGACATCAGTTTCACTATTAATCGAAACAGTCTGGCCACTCTTATTACTTCCCTCAGACTTAGCTGAATCAGTGTTAGTCTTTTCTTTTAGCATTTCCAAGCACATAGCTTTCAGTTCAGATCTAGCGGAAGACGTGCACAATGCTAAAATGTTCAATGCTTTAGCTCTCACAGATGCAGCTTTATCATTACACCTGGCCAATATTACAGACAGTAAAGTGCAAATGTGAAGAAAACTTTGAAATTTTTTGGGCACTGAAGTATCCCAGTTTCTTTCTGGTTCAATGACTAGCAATGAAAACAGTTCCAAGCTAAAAATCCTGTAATTAACTTTAGCATGTCGTGCCAACCTATGCAGCCATTCAACCATTTCAGCAAAGGCCCCTGTAGGAAAATGTTTCAGTATCTCTATACAAGCTTGAGCTACTTTACATCGAAAGTCTGATTTATCAACAACTTTTGTACACAAGTGTTGAACAAGAACTCTTGCACCCTTCAACGAAGTTTCTTGGTTCTCCTTCATAAGATGACAAATAAAACTAACAGTGTTGTCTTTAACTATTTGCTGGGCTCGAGGGATAGACTGACTTCCCGCAACTGACAACATAAGGATGTTTGGTAGAAGGTATTTCATAATGGTGAGAACCAGTTGCTCAACATCTCCATGCAGAGGTTGACAGAGATATTTCAAACCTTTAAAAGCTAACAGTGAAATATCTGGTCTCTTCTTTCGAGTATTTTCAATCTGATGATGACTGTCAAAGATCATACATTTTTCAGTTTCCATTGTTGTCAGTTCTGTTAGCTGCTGAATAACCTGTTCAATAAGATGCATGTTGAACTGCAGAGTAAAAGTTTCCAATAATGTAATTAGATCAGAAAGTGCACTTGATAAAATGCTAATCAGTTTCTGAACCTCTTCAAGAGACATATTAACTTCATCTTCTCCCTCGTCACTGCTAAACCCTTCCATCGTTATTGCTTCGTTTCCATCAGGATCACCACTTGTACAAGGTTCAGCTAAATCTTCTTCAGAAATATGTCTATTACTCTTCCCATAACCCTTTTTATTCTTTCTACATTTTCCATAATTACTATTTTGCCCTCCAACTTCTTTACGACGTTTGCTTGGTTTAAATATTTCTTCTTCTCCACATCCATCTGGTTGATCAAAATTAACTGGAATTCTACGCTTTTTAGGAAAATGTTTGTTCAACTGTGCCTCTGTTGCCGAGCCTGCTTCTTTTGGAACTTTCATACTGTGAACAGCCATTTGGAAGAGGTTACCTTGAAATATCCTGAAGGCACTACTACCAGGAATTCTCAGAATTGTGAAATACAACTGACTACTAATCAGAGCATATTCTTTCTTAACAAAGTTACATCGTGATTTCTGGTTGTGTCTGTTTGTCTCTACACTTGCTTTCATCAAAAAATACAGTAAGGCTAATATCTGTTTGTAATGAACATCATTTTCAATTAAAATGTTCCAAAAGTTAGTGCTTGTAACAGCATCAATAGAACCGTTTAAGCTTTCATGAATATTATCTTTAGATACAAATTCACCTGCAATCCGATCTTCAATGTTGTTATTACTCCGAAGATTAGAATCAACGACAGTTACTTGTTTATCACTAAGACTATGAACAGCCCATGTCCTGCAGAGATTTGTTGTTTCAATGAGCAAATCTTTTAAACCTTCAACACTATAGATTTCATCATTTGGAAGATCAACATCTTCAGTGAAACCGCTATTCCATACATATGTCATCAAATCCTTATCAATAACTTCAAGAGGAAAAGAAGAAAATATTTGTAGAGTGTTTCTTTCCAAATTCTCAAACTCCGCCATGATGGTCCGTTAAAATTTAGCGGGAGGAAATATAAACATAGTACATACATACACTCAAGAAAAAAAATCCAATATGATTGAAAACCTGAAACAGAAGGTTTCAATATTATACTGATTTTGTACTTTTTTTATGTATTGACTTGATGGCTAGATGCGCGTGAAGATGAAACAATTTCCATTACTTTTTGTAGCAGAGAGAAACTGTTATTGATGTTTTATGAAATTATATATTCATACTAAAATTAATGTTATGAGATTATACATGACACTATCGTTTAAACAAGCTGTGCCTAAAATGTGATTTTAACAAAACGTGGAATTATCATACGTACCACCACAATGGAAACTTAGAAAGTTAATAGGATTTAGATATATTAAAAATATGAAGCACATAAGCAAAAATTTTCAACAAATAGTAATAATATTTTTCACGTTTTAGGTTTTAGAAAAAAAATGTTTCCAGGCGCTTAAGCGGGTTTACATTTATATATTTTTCCTATACGGAATTCAACAAATATATTTTGAAAGTTAAAAATAAGAATTTAGGAAATAGTTTAAGAAGTATTATAATTTTAAAAGTTATAAAGTTAATTCCATTTAGCATTATATGTAGTACATTTTATCTAATTTATACAAAAAATATTGAACCAGTTATGAACTAAAGTCGTTTTGCTAAGGGAGCCTGTGGTAAAGTTAATTATACGCTGTATGAAAATTAACTCAAAAATATATATAAAACGTCTCTGTAAAGTATTCTGAGTTTTCGTTAGTTTTTAACGATGAAAGAGTGACTGTTCACGACGCTACACATTCGATTTAATAGGCGATAAAACTAAAATAAAAAATGACACTGGTCACAATATTTTTTGTTCTTGTTG